AGGCCACCGCGGCCGCCCGCTGCCGTTGCCGCCAGCCGCAGCCGTTCCTGCTGGCCTGCCTGCACGGGGGTGCGGGCGGGCCCGAGCCCCTGTCCCACTTTGAAGTGGAGGTCTGCCAGCTGCCCCGGCCGGGCCTGCGGGGAGTCCTCTTCCGCCGTGTGGCGGGCACTGCCCTGGCCTTCCGCACCCTCGTCACCCGCATCTCCAACGACCTCGAGCTCTGAGCCACCACGGCCCTGGGTCACCTCCTCTTCCTCTTCCTCGCCCCCTTCACTTCTACAGGAGGGAGGGGGGTCTGGGAGGGGATTCTCCCTTTGCCGTCCCCTCGGCTGCCCTGGATTGGATTTGGGGGCGAAGACTATGTCCTCTACTGTACCCTGGGGACGCTCAGCGTGAGAAGAGTGAGCGGGCTCAGCTGGGGGAGCTGGCACCTTCCTGGAGCCGCCGGCCAGGCCTGTCCCTCCTCGCCCTGCCATGGGGCACCTGAGGAGACTTTGGGGGCAGGGCAGAGGCAGGAAGGAAAACTGAGGACACTTTTCCATTCCTCCCAACAGTTCAAGAATTAGGCCTTGGGCAGGGGCAGGAAGAGTTGCTGAGCCTAAAGACTGGAGAATTTGGGGGGCTGGGAGTGGGGGATCAGAGAGGCAGATTCCTTCCCTTTCCCTGCCCCTCATGCTCGACCCCCCTCCCTGCCCCAGGCTGGTGCGGGGCACTTTGTACAAATCCTTGTAAATACTCCCACACCCTCCCCTCTGCAGAGATCTCTTGAGGAGCTGCCGCTGTTGCCTCCGGTTTTTAAGTTATTACACCCCCACCCTCCTCCTGTCAGCCCCCTCACCTGCAGCCTGTCATCCAATAAACTTAGGAGAGTCCCCCTCCCCCACGCTGTCCCTGGGGTTTTCCTTCCCTGCCCTCACCTACAAGTGAGATGAAGAGGAGGGGTGTGACTTTGGGCCAGTGGTTTCTCCTTTCTGAGCCTCGGTTTCCTCGTCTGCAGAATGGGATTAGTAGGGGTGTGAGGGTCAAGGATGATTGTGGAAGAGGGCAGGACGGCACTCAGCCTCATCCACAAGGCTCCCAGTTCCTATGTGGGACCCCCATTCATCCACTCACACTCCCACCCACGTGTTATACTGGACCCTAAGCCACTTCCTACTCCAGTAGTACATTTATTCAATAAACAGTCATTGACTGGTGCCTGTTCCATGCCAGGCCCAGTGCTGGACATGGAGACAGAAGGTGCCCTGTCTACAGGGGACATGGGTTAGGACACAAACTAGAGAAACCATTGCTTTAGGGGCCCAGGAGAGAAAAGAGGTTGAGGAAGGTACTCCAGAGGAACCAATGCCAGAGATGAGTTTTAAAGGATGAGTAGGATTGGCCAGGTATTAGGTATGCCCTGGGCAAAAGCCTGGAAGTGGGGGTGCATGGTATATCTTCAGAGAACTGTGGGTAATTTCAGTGTGGCTGCTATGTTGGGGGTGGGTAGAAAATTAACTAAAGATATGCTAAATTAGGACTAATAATCCATCTACACTTAAGCCAAAAGCTATCTGTTTGCTTGTTATTTAATAGTCTGGGCGCCTGACTTCAGGTATGGCTGGGTCCAGGCAGCAGGCCACCTCATCTCTGCTTCCCCGCCCCCCCCCCAGCATGAGTTTCATTCTAGCAGTTTTATCCAATAGACACTCCCTGCTGGCAAAGTGACCCCAGCAGTTCCAACTTTCATTCTTCCAGCTTAGTTCCTGCAGCAGAAAGTTCCTTATTGCCAACTGCCAGCAAAAGTTCCAAGCCATATTCTAATTGGCCCAGATAGGTCATGTGATCATCCCTGAACCAATTGCTGAGATTCAGGTGGCCAGGGCTGTACCTAGAGCTGCACTTAATGGGGTTCCCCAAAGGAAAGTCAAGGATTCCTGAACAGCAGGGAAATGAAGCTCAATAGACAAGCAATTGAGGACTGTCCAGTACAGGAAGGCAGGTCTTGTTCACCCAGCACCTTGTGGCCCAAAGTGAGTAGGCTGGGTTTATATCCCAGGGCACTGAGGAGCCGTGGAAGATGGTATGCAAGGAAGAGCCTTAACTGTGCCTCAGTTGCCCATTTGGGGCATGGTAGGGTCACCCTGGTGTTCCTCATGAGGCTGATAGGAAAGTCACGTGAGAAATGAAAGCTAGTAAAGATTTAAAATGATCAGTGTTGAGAAATTCAGGGGCTGGGGCAGAGCATCATTCCTGTCTAATGAGGGAGGCCAGAGTAGTGAACTGCTGAAGGGCCTTTATAGTTGAGGCCAGAAAAATGGGGGTGTGGGTGTGGGGAACCAGCCCTGTGCTAGGGACACATTGGTCCAGTGAAAGGAGCAGCTGTGTCTTCAGTGCTGACCCAGACTGGGCAGGTTGTGGAGAGGGGCCTGGACCTTCTTCCAAGGGCACTGGGGAGCCATGGCAAGGTTGTGAGGGAGAGGTAAGGACAGGTTTATGCTGTGAAAGGAGGGACAGAGATCAGAAAAATAGGGAAGAGGTAGGGGCAGGACCGAAGGTGGGGGAAAAAGGGGTGGATTTAAGGTTTATGAGGCAAAATGGGCAGGATGGGCATGGTAGCTGATAGACACCTGGACTGCAGATTTGACAGCCCGTGCCCACTGCAGTGCTGTCTGTGTGACCTCTGGGGGTGGAGCTGGGATTAGTGATGGGATCTTCAGTTGGGGACAATATTGTAAAGAACATCCTGGCATCTGACAGGCCCTACATGGCTTGACCTTTGGGGTCCCTCTTAACCTTCCTATTTCAGTAACCTCTCTGGGAATTCTTGGGGAATCCTTGAGCCTCAATTTCCCCTTCCTGCTTCCTCCTGAGACCAAGCTTTCCAAAAGACCAATCCCTAAAGACCACGGGGATGCTCTGCCCCAAGCCCTTGCTGGAGGAGACAACAGCTTGCACAAAGACATTAAGGTGGGAGTTGCAGGGTGTAAGGAGCCAGAGTATATAGAGGAATAGTGGGAAAAGAACTGGAAAGGTGAGCTCAGCAAATGGTATGCATTATGATTTGACTAAATAATAATAGGAATGCTTTTTAGGAGATGTAGGAGCTATGGCAGGTTTTTGAGCAAAGTAAGTGAAGTTGAAAAGACTCGTAGCATCTAGAGGGATGAAGTCAGACCTCACAGAAGGTCAATAAAAAGCATAATGAGGTACATGAGATGCATATGAGGTCTCAAACTGAGAGCCTGTGGGCCAAGTTCAAGTCTCAGACGCCTTGGCTTGCATTTTGCCCTCACACGCCCCGTGTTTGAGATCTGAACCGAGTGTGATCAGAAGCCAAGGTTGAGAAGGGCCCAAGCTCAGCTATAGGACACTGGGCCACACCTCTCTGCGTTTCGGATTCCCCATAGAGCCTTATAATTTTTGGCGTCTATTTTTTTTTTTTTAATATATCTTTACTGATTTCAGAGAGAGGAAAGGAGAGGGAGAGAGATAGAAACATCAATGATGAGTCATTGATCGGCTGCCTCCTGCACGCCCCGATTGGGAAGCCACCCCGCAACCCAGGCATGTGCCCTGACCAGGAATCAAACCCGGGTCGCCTGGATCCTAGGTCCACGCTCAACCGCCGAGCCACGCCCAGCTGGGCTGAGCCTTATAATTTTTGGATTACACTCTGTACCCTAACTTTGCCTCATATGGGATAAAACGTGGCTAGCATGTGCCTAGAGAAGGCAAACCACTTCAAGGTCACACAGCGGCCAATTACTAAAGCCCCTCCTCCTCTCTCAATAACTTGCACGCAAAGTTAAGGCCACCATTGCTTTTATTTGTTGCTTTGAGTGGAGAAAAGCTTGAATGAGCCCCACGTGCGTGGGACGCTCCCCGCTCAGTAGGGGAGAGGCGGGCGTGAGGGAGGTTTTCCATTGGCCGGAACCCAGAGGGAGGAGCCCGTTGGTTGGAGCTCTGGGTGGAATCGCACCTCCGCGAAGGGTGGATAGAGCCGGGGGTGGGCCTCCCGGGGAGGGGCGGGAAAGGGGAAGGGGCGAGTCTCCAGGGCGTCCGGCCTTCCCTTCGGCTGGGGCTCCCGCAGGCGGCGGCGGCCCGGCTGGGCGTCTACTTCTGGGNCTGGGCGTCTACTTCTGGGCGGGGATCATGTCGTCGATGGACTGGCCCTTCTCCAGCTTCTTCTCCATCTCCACCATGAGCTTCACACCGTCCACCACCAGCTGCACCTGCTCTACCTCGGACGAGCCCAGCCGGTCGGCGTTGGACACGTCGAACACTGAGCCCACGGCAGCTGTGTCCACGCCACCTGAGGGAGCGGAACGCAGGGGCCTGAGGAGGGGGCAGAGGTGCAGGAGCGGGGCGGACGCCGCCCCCGTGCCAAGGCCCACGGCCGCGTGTGCTGAATGCCTCCTGGTGACACGCTCACACACGAGAGCCTCCCAAATGGCTATTCGCGGGCCCACATGCCCGGCTTTAGTTTCCTCACCCCTCTACCTCCAACAAGAAAATATAGCGTAGTGGGTAAGAGCGTGAGCTATGGGGACGGGCCGAGTGGGGTCTAATCCGGGCCATCTCCCCCTTTACAGTGGGGAAACTGAGGCCCATAGGGGGCCGGGGACATACATAACGAGCCACACAATATGATAGTATATTGACCCCTCTAAGGTAAGGCGTTTTGATGCCCGTTTGCAGAGGAAGAAACTGAGGCTCAGAGGGGCAGCCCTTGCCGACTCCCAGAACTCTCGGGGATACCCCACCCCCTGATCCGCCACCGACGTCGCGGGGGGGGGAGACAGGGCCTCACCTGTGCCCCGCTTCTGCAGGCGCAGGCGGCTTAGGATCTCCTCGAACTTGGGATGCTTGCTCAGGTGTGCCAGCTTCACGTGCACGCCTCCGCGCAGCCCGGTGCCCAGGTTGGATGGGCAGGTGAGCACGTAGCCCAGGTGCTCGTTCCACATGAAGGGGTGGCCGGCTTTCTTGAAGATCTCCTCAATCTGAGGTGGGTGAGAGGACCGGAGGTCAGCGCCAGCCGGCGCCCCCAATACGCCCAGAACCCGACGGAGCTCCAAGGGACAGGGTTTGAGGATGTGCGTGAGGGCGAGGTTCTGAGGGGCGCGGCTGGGCAGCAGACGGATGAGATTCTGAGGGGAAGGGACCGAAGACACGGAGGACAGCGGGACTCTGAGGGGGCGGGGCTTGAGGGCGCGTGGAGTTCGTAGGGGCGGGGCTTGAGGGCGCGTGGAGTTCGTAGGGGCGGGGCTTGAGCGTAAGGGTGGAGCCCGAGGGTCCCCCCCCCAGAAGGCGGGGCTTTGAAAGCGCTGGGGCTGGCC